AACTGAATGAGTACCAAAAAACTGTTCTAAAAGTTGGGGAGTATAGGTCAATTTCTTACCCTTGTCCTTGTCTTTATCCTCTTCAGGCTCACTTTCCTGGTTCCCTTCTTTCACGTTCGGTACTTCTTTGTCATAACCTGCTTCTTCTCCTTCGTCTTGTTCGGCTTCATATTCGTCACCATAATCGACAGAAGTTGAATCTTCATCATCACTTTCATCATCATCATCATCATCATTGTTTTGTCTTCTGTCTTCCTTTACCATTTTGCTGTCATGTTTTCTATTTTGGCTCCTGTCGCTTCTTGGCTCGAGTCTCTCTGCAAGATTTAGTATAACATCTTCAAGCTTGGATAGCCTTGTATTAAGAATATCTATCGTCTTTGCATTAGATACACGCTTAGGAATACTCGAAGATTTTACTCTTTTCTCCTGTTTTTCCTTATAATTGCATCCAGACCTATTTGACTGTTGACAATTTCCACAAGGATATTGTCCATCGCATTTAATCTTTTTACGACGGCAATTATCACAAGCCACTCGTATTCTCTTCTTGGATGTTTTGTCCTTTGAATTATTAAAATCCATGTTCCGGACCTTCCCTAATTCAAAACGAAGTATGAATATCTGTAAATTTTTAATATAATACTAATCAAGATCAGATGCGCAGCGAAAATCAGTTATCCATATTCGGAATTTTATTACCTTTCTGTACTTGATGATTACAACATACCACTTATAAATATCACCATTGATTGTAATATAATTGAACTAATGATGTAGTAAAAATATATACTAATTGCGGCATATGTGAATTATGTCTATTTTATATAGTTAAAGTTTCCTTTCTCGGTGATGTACCGACTCATATAATTGAATTATCATCCATGATTTTTCTATAGTTGCGGTATGTATTTACATTGTTCAAGTATTCGGCATAACCTGCCTTAACGCGAATAGTATGTTACTAGGAATCTCTATTAATTATTTAAATTGGCAAGAGCTCTTCGATTTTGCATTCAACCTCGTATTCATTTCTAAACGAGCGATGTCAAAAACACAAATTATCGCTGCTGAGGACAAGACTTGCTTAATTTGAAACATCAGAAGAATTATGCCGATTTAATAATTAACATTTGACCGATTACATAGCTATTGCTGCCGGAATACTTTTCTAAATTTCTACATGAGTTTTCAGCTTGTAATATATTCTATTGTACATTTCATATTAGAGACCCAAATTATTATCGAAGAAAAAATTAGGTAGATTGTTCATCTGGGAATTAATAATGGACGTAAGACCATCATCATTAAGATAGTCTGAAATTAAGTCATCATTCATGAAAAAATCGTTTGCATTAACGGATGGGTGTAACATATTTGAAAAGCCTGGACTCATATTGTTTGAAAGCTCGTAATTTTGGCCGTTGCTCCGCTCTTTCCCAGTTAAATCTTGGTTAGATTCGCCATTATAAGACGCATCCTTAGGGCTCTTGTCATACTTATTTTTTGATGGGAATGGAGACGTTCCACAGACTGCCACAAACCCTTGTGTGCCAAATGATGAACTTTTCATTGATGTTGCAAACTGAGAGATAAAATCGCCAGTTTCTTTAAATATATCAGGGAATTGTTTCTCCGTGCTCTCTAAATGCTCTTTCAACAACTTATTGTTTGCTAAAACCGGTATGCCCGTCTTAGTCTCAAAAACTCTTATCACAATTTTCAATAATACTTTAATTATTAAGTCAACCGTTGCCTCCTTAGATTGGTATACTTTGAATCTGCTAAATCCTTCTACAGGCCAAGTCTTCTTATGTGAAAAGAAATTCATACAACTGTCTGCTAAGAGCTTGATATCATCATAAGTCCCTGGGGCAGTCGGATGGTTAATACAAGCCGCCAGCAAACTCATGAATGCCGCAGAAGGAAAGAAGACAACCCAGTTATAAAACGAAAGACCGGTACTTTCACGTGGCATATTCTTAGCCATTGCAAGAATTGTTCTAGCACTATCAAGAAATATATTCCGAAATGAGAGACTTCTTTCATCATTTTGTTCACTATCTGGTATACCAATCAAAAATGGAATTCTGTTTGTAACCATCAAGTGCGAAAAATATGTGAAATGAATACATAAAATATTCTTTGTATGTCGGGAATCAGATGAATATACATTACAAAATTCCGGGTCATTATAGAATCTTGGTTTCAATATTGGATCCATCAGATCAGCCAATTTGAATGTCTCCCTATTAAGCGCAGCCAATGTCACCAGTAGACTTTCAAACGACTCTGTCCCGGCGGACGCGACAAATAAACTGTTGTAACTTTTAGCTCTAATTCTTGTCAATAACAAGAAATGATAATAGACTAGAGAAATGAACTTTTCAGTCTGATCGAAACCATTAAGCTTTTGATCTTTGTGGGTCCTTGCATCAGAACAAGACAAGAAGTCATTTTCTGAACCAACACTAATATCTAATCCATTTATGAGAGGGGGTTTTCCACTTCTAAAACAAATTTCCATGTCAAAGCAGTAGCAGCACCACCATATCATTCGTCTTGTTTTAGCTTCTTGAGCTGATAAATTGGCATATGATTCTTGACGATGTATTCCAATTTCTTGTGCAAACCTGATAGCAACAGAAATAAGCATATAACTCACATGAGACAAGATGTAACTGGATTCAATATAAGTGACTAATAAAATGATCGCCTGAATCGTTTCTATACCGTCATTTATAACCAGAATTCTATGATAATAAAATACACAGTTATCAAATAGCTCCTCCTGGAGCACCGTAAATTGGTCATTGTTCATGGACTGAATGCTTTTCGGGGTATTAGCTGAACAGCTTGAAGCAGGAGACATATTCAGACCTGAAGTGTCTTCATCGATTTTACTAGATATACATAAACAAATTACCATACTCATGATTATTAATTCAGAACATTTGAACTTTCTACGTTTCTTTCCATCGATTCCATAATATATCTCAAATAGACTTCTTACCCAATCGATATCACATATGTAATTCGTTGCAGCATAAAGATCATAATAATTATCTAATAAATCAAATACTAAGCGATAATCTTTAGGAAATGGAGCTTCCAATAGTTTCTTTTTCTTTGCAATATCAATTAAAGGGGGATCAACCCATTTCAGTATGAATGATTTCGACTTCATATAAAATACAAATGGTAGGTTTCGGATCGGATTAATTAAGCGCGAGTCTTCCGGTCCCAAAGCACTTTCGATCCAACCTAAGCTTTTATCTGAAAAAAGGCATACAACTGAATGAGTACCAAAAAACTGCTCTAATCGCTGGGGGGTGTAGTTCCATTTCTTATTACTCGTGTCCCTATCCTTATTATCTGAGTTACGCCCTTGTTCCCCTTCATCGCCTTCAGTAGTCAATTCTTCATTGCCGTCTTCAATGGAAGTTAAATCGTCGTCATCTGCTTCGTCTTCTTCATCTTTCTCGTCTTCATATTCTTCCCTTTCGCTTGTTTCTCGTTTGGCATGAGGCTTCGTTATATTCCCACTTCTTGGATCAAGCTTTTCCGCAAGGTTTAAGATAACATCTTCAAGCTTTGATAATCTCGTATTGAGAATCTCTATCGTCTTGGAGTTGGACACATTCTTAGAGATCTTCGGGGATTTAGTTCTTTTTTCTTGTCTTTCCTTATAATTGCATCCTGACCCATTCGATTGTTGACAATTTCCACACGGATACTGGCCATCACATTTAATCTTTTTACGCCGGCAACTATCACAAGCCACCCGTATTCTCTTCTTGGGCTTTTCACCCTTTGAACTATTAGAATACATTGTCCTGGACCTTCTAGATTCAAAAGAAGAAGAAATTATATTTCACCAAAATCAATGCGCAGTCAAAATATTAATAATTGATTACTCGGTATTTTAATACGTTGTTTATCTTTTTGACTTCGTGACTAGTAAAATACTGGTTATAGAGGTAGCGTTTAATTGTCGTTTAACTGAACTATAGATATTTATCATATGTAATATATATACCGAGATTTGGATCGTCCGGATGGTTCCCATACAGACTACTTTTCAATCTAACAAGAGCAGTGTTATGGCCGGCCACAACATGATTCGCTATGATTCAAAATATCATCCAACGACGATCTTCTATAATTCAGAGTTTTAGGGCGATTCGGCGTAGATGAGTGTGATTTAAAATCGGCTGCAAAATCGTTATTTTGCTTCGCATAACTATCGTTGAACGAATAAACTAAAGGATCAAAAAACCGTGTAAGCTTAAGTATTTGATTGTTCTCGTCTAATATGTGATTTGGTTCTTTATTAAAAAATTCTGGGTAAATTAATTTACACTGTTCAAAATGTTCAGCTAGCCCATCAATTTCTTCAACATAATTGCGACCACTTTCAAAACTGACAACATTGACCACTAGTCGCAAAAGGACTCTGGCTATGAAATCTGCCGCAGTAGCTTTCAGATCATATTTTCTTCTTTCTGCCCATTCTTCTGTCAGAGAGTTTGATTTGCAAGAAAAGAATCTTCGAGATACCTTAATTAATAAGAGGCAGTCATTATGAGTTTTAGAATCAGTAGGGAAATTAAGACAATGGATAACCAAACATGAAAATGATAAAAATGTATGTAATAATAAACCATTAAAAAAGGAAGTTGGTGAAGAAGTTTTATCTAACGGTAAAATTATTTTCAATACCCTTCTTGCAGCATCTAATCCCAAATTTCCAAGAGAAAATCCGACAGAATCATTTTCATACGAATCAATCAAAAATGGGATCCGATTAATTGTAATTAAATGTGAAAAGAATGAAAGCTGAAGATTTAAGGTATGCTCTTTGTAAATGTTACATTCACCGTCGTATAGAGGTTGAAAGTTTGGATTTTTGGGTGAGTCTCTCCTACGATCATCATGTAATGTTGGTCGCACTTCAGGTTCCATCATCAGAGCCATCTTAAACATGTCACCATTAATGGTTTGTAATGTCTGCAAGACTTTTTCCTTGCTGTATAGGATCTCTTTTTGGGCCTTAACACTGAACAATGACTCATAACTTCTTACCCTAATTCGATTTAACATTAGAAAAAAATAACCGTAGTAAGCTTGAGTGCCTTTCACCTGGCATTCACTAATTATGCGGTCGTTGCTTAGCGTATTCATAAATGGGTCAATGGGCACGGAAAAAATATACGAATCATTCTCCGTTAAGGTGGAGACACTGGAATTATTAATCAATGGTGGCTTGCCACACCTGTAGCTGTATTCTATGTCTGAATGATGACAAAAGCTCCAAAGCCGTCTGCGCAACTCTGTTTCTTTTTCGGTGCAGCCTTGGAAACTTTCAGAACGATGCAATCCCATCTCCTGTGCGTATCTTATGGCCACCGATGATAGCATATAAATAATTTGAAAATCGGAAATGTGACTGAGCTCCATATAAAGCACCAACAAGAAGATGGCTTGGATAGATTCGATTCCTTCATTTATCACCAGAATTTTGTCGTAGAAGAATATGGCATTATTGAAAAGCATGGTCTTAAGGTCAAACAAATGTCCTTCAGAAAACGACTCTATTCCTATACCTTCCAGAGATACATCCTTGTCGTTATGAACATCAATAAGACATAATGCTAGCGAAACATTCATGATCAATAGTTCGGAAAATTTAAGTTTATCGCAACCTTCAAAATTTTGGTTATAGTATCTCACGAATATCTCACGAATATACGACAAATCGCATATATATGCGGCGAGATGGATATTTTCATAGTATGCTTCCAAAAGCTGGAAAACTACTGGGCTATCAGGAATGGGAGTGTGACTTATCTGGTGGCCCTGGTTGGCATTAAGCCACATTTGCGTCAGAGAATCTAACACATAGCCAAATACCATTGGCATGTTTCGAATGAGCGTAACCAACTCTTCATCCTTGTTTCCTAAGGCCTGTTCCATCCACGAGATGCTGGCCTTGGAAAAAATGCAAAATATCGAGTACGATTTAAAACACTGGGCTAGGGTCGATTTCGCAGCTTCCGTACGCGAACTCCGTCTTGTCTCATTCCCGACCCCCACAGAACTCGTCTCCGACGACCAAGACCAATTTTCTTCCAGTCTCCGTCCATTTGATACTCCAAATCTCTTATTCATCTCCTCCTCTTTTCCCTCGCCGTTTCCCACGCCTTCATTCTTCGTCTCTTCAAATTTGCTGGCGATCTTCGCCAACACCGATTCTATACTTGCCATCCGTTTGCTCAACAGCTGCACTGTTTTTGCACTGGAAACATATTTTGTTGATGTCTTCTTCTCCTCTACCCTATTAGGATACGTACAATTTTCTTTGCCACCATTTACACAATTTGAACATGGTTTGGCTCCGTTACACTTAATTTTGCGTCTTCTACAGAACTCGCATGCAACTTTAGTTCTCCCTTTCAGTATACCTTTCGTTTGACCACATTCTTCCTTTCTGCATTCATCCAAGCTATTATTCATAACTCTATAGATCAAAAGCTAAATAACTGAATTCAATTTACTTTCCCATTCGTGATAAAAACCCATATTATTTATTCATCGGAACATACGAGAAAACTCGTATCCGTCTTCCGGATGGTCTCATTTTTTTTTACGCGAGATTTCGTAATTGTGCACGTGCATTATCATGTGCAAACGGTTCCAGAAAACTGGTCGTGTCTCTGGTTCAATAATTTCGTATGAAAAATGTTCATACAGCTAGGTCAACATTATGTCTAGAATATCAAATCAATTTACAGCAAGAAAGTGAAGTAGAGGACATGGTTGTTAAACGTGGCCCTATCCTTGCGAACAAGGAAGATTCTAATTTCAGTGAAGCATTGAAGCTATATGAGAGTAAGCAATATAAAAAGGCGTTGAAGCTCGTTGAACAAACGTTGAAGAAAAACTCGAATCATGCGGAATCATTAGGGTTGAAAGGGTGTATTTATCACTTCAATGGGAACAAGTCGGAGGCCGAGCCGTATATTGTGAAGGCTGTCAGCAAGGCGCCAGAGAACTATCTTGTTGATCATCTTGCGGGAATCTACTACAGAGCTGTCGAGAACCATAGGGAAGCCGCAAAGTGGTTCAAGGCAGCAATTGATAACGGATCGCCAAATAAGCAAATCTTGAGGGATTTGTCGGTGATGCAGGTGCAGATCAGGGACTTTAAGAATTTGAAGGAATCGAGACAGGCGTATTTGGAGAGCCAACCGGGGTACAGAGCTAATTGGACTGGAGTGGCAGTTGCGCTCCACTTGAACAAGAATTATGCGGGTGCGGTATCGACTTTGTCGAAGATCGAAGGTATCATCAAGGAGCATTTGCAGGAATCCGATATGTACGAACACTCGGAATGTGTGTTGTACAAGAACTCGATTATTGGCGAATCGGGCAACTTTGAGAAAGCATTGGAGGTATTGGATAAAGATGAAAGTGAGATCAAAGATAAGCTCTCCTTTATGGAATATCGTGCGAAATACTTGGTCCTTTTGGGTAGAAAAAAAGAGGCTTCGATTATCTATCGTCAATTATTACAACGCAACCCCGACAATGTTGAATACTACACTCTATTAGAGACTGCATTGGGAACAAGCAATCAGTCTCCTGATATTAGATTGAAGTTATACGAAAAGCTTGCCAAGTTTTACCCTCGGTCGGACCCACCTCAGTTTCTACCATTAACATTTTTGCCTGCTTCTCATCCTAGCTTTGTAGTCAAGGCAAAGCAATATGTTTTGACCCAGTTGCAAAGAGGTGTCCCAGCTACTTTTGTTAACGTTAAACCTTTGTATAAGAACAAGGAAAAATTGGCTGTCATCCAAGAATTCGTTCTCGATTTTTTCCAAAATGAGGCACCCAAATTGATACCAACCGTTACGGTTTGGACCATGTACTTTTTAGCACAGCATTATTTGTATTTAAATGATTTGCTGTCGGCCGAAAAGTATATCGATCAAGCCTTGGTCCATTCTCCAACTTTGGTCGAATTATACATTGTTAAAGGCCGTGTTTTGAAGCATTTAGGAAGATTTGAAGAGGCTAGTGACGTTATGGAAGAAGGTCGTAAGTTAGACTTACAAGATCGTTTTATCAACTCGAAGGCTACCAAATATTTATTAAGAGCAAACAAAGTAGACGAAGCTATCGGCTGCATCTCATTATTCACCAAGCTTGATGAAGATGCTGTTAACGGTTGTAAGGATTTACATTTAATGCAAGTAAACTGGGTTTTAACTGAAAGTGCAGAAGCTTACTCTAGGTTGTATCATCAATACGAAGCACAATTAGCTAAGATCAATAAGTCAGATACTGACGAGGAAACGTTATCTGATGAATCTGAACTAATTGACAAGATTGAATTATACAAGGGTTTGGCTTTAAAGAGATATCTTGCAGTTATCAGAATTTTCAAGATATTTTACGAAGATCAATTTGATTTCCATTCATACTGCTTAAGACGTGGTACTCCGAGAGACTATATTGAAACATTGAAGTGGGAAGATAATATTCACTCTACCCCTATTTATTCTAGAGTTCTCAAAGGTTTGTCACAGATTTACTTCGAATTGTACCAGCAACAACAAGACCAGAAACTTCAAAACGGTCAAGATTCTAATGAGGATATTAAATTCAAGAAGAATAACAAGAAGCAGAAGAAAGCTAAGGCTCAAAATATGAAGAAAAAGGAAGATCTTATTTCAAGAGTTGAATCTGAAAAGAATGATAGAGACCCATTAGGGTCAAAATTGCTTCATGATTTGTTAACTGATAGCAATGGTAAGCTTTTAGACAACTTATTCGAAATGGTGAAACCTTTAACTGAAGAGGCTAAGAATAATAGATTAACGTGGGAATTGGCTTTCGATTTATATTGTAAAGAAGGCAAGTATATTTTAGCTATGCAAGCAATTAAGAATTTGAATAAAATCCTAAATCCCTATAATGAGAAGAAATTAAAACAAATTGGAGAAATGGTTGTGTATTTGTCTCATGCATCTACAGTCGATTCAAGTGCCAATGCAGCAATTGCAAAAGTGGTGGGGAAAGGATTAAGTTCTGCATTCCCAGAATTCTCAGAACTGGATAAAGAAGGATTTTTAAAAGTATATAATAACTAAGCATGTTATATAGCTATACATTAATAGACATGTTATTCCTTAAGACCTTATCCAGCCGTCGACTTGGCTCCTAGCCACGTTTCCAGCTAGGTTCAACGTTTGCTGGCCCATAGGAAAATAACTAACAGTATACCAAATTGCACTTATTAATTGTATAACCGCAAATATTATAGAAAGCAACGTACTTCTTAATGATAAGCAACTTACTAAGGTTAATATGATACTAGTAACAAATACAATTGTGAAAATTATTCTAGTAGACAGAAATAAATGTTGCATGTAAGCTTTAAACCCCTGTAAAACACCGAAACTAACCAAGAAAAAAATAGATCCTAATGACCATAATAATGCAAACTTTCTTGGTTTTAAAGATAAAATTGGAAATAAAAATATGCAAATCAAGTAACATGATACTGAGCCTGCAAATGTTAATCCAAAGATCAACATTCTATCCCACCTAGACAATTCAAAATAGCCAGGTTCAGAAGTAACATAATTTTCATCGTCTTCAAGATAAACAGAATTATTCCTAAAGGGATTGAGTTTACCTAATCTAGTCTTAAATGAATTCGGAGTGGAATTATTACTATTAGTTGCCGGTGCTGGTAAAGGGGCCCCATCATCATTTTGGGACAATGGCGTATAATTAGATTGATTCTTTTTGAATGACTTGAAGAAACTCATTTTCTAGTAGGTGTGTAGCTTATGTGATGCTTTATGTTAAGAATTTATTCTTTATCATGTAGGACGGATTTGTTCGGTATGAAAAAAAGATCACTAACGAAATTGAGATTTCAGAACACAAATCATGAAGTGATACTATCAATAAATTCAACGAATAATTCTACTCAAATCACATAAAATAATATGTCTGTTACAACTCAGAATGAAAGAGAATTTGCTACTAAATTCTTACAACTCCTTGGTTTATCAGCAGACGCTAAGTCTGATCAATTTTATTCGACAGCAGATTACCATAAGTTGTCCTCTTTAGGTCCAACTTTGCCTAAAATTCAAGTTCCTTTACCAAAAGGCGAATCATCTCAAGATAATACAACCGAAAATGCCGCTGAAGTATCTTTGAAGTCTATAAAACCACCATTCAAGTTTTCTACACAATTGACAAATGTACCTGTTTCTCACACAGTTTATAAGGTCAAATCTGATTTGATTGAGTCATTACCGTTATTAAAAGATGCTCATATAAAGCCTACACATTTGAAGTTATTAGTAAAGGGTAAAGTCATCCCAGATACATCATCGTTGACTTCTTTAGTTAACGAAGATAAAACTATATCATTCATGTGTATGGTAAGTCAACCAACAACCGAAGCAGGTATTACGGCAGATCCTACAGATGACAAGATTGATGAAGTTACACCTGCCAGTGTTAAATCTGACACACTAGTTGTATCGGAAGGCACTTGGTCTAAAATACATAGGGTTTTGGTAGAAGACCTTGGCAGCGAAGAATTGGCAAACCAAGCCTTAACGAAATTGAAAAGTGGTTTTAATTGATATTAATATATTAATACAAGAATATATAAATACCGCAAATAATTATAATTAGATAAACGTAATGGCATTGTCATGAATGACTCTCCGCTCGTAGCCTCATTAAATTGACATAAATCTCATGGCGAGGAATAAACTTTCTAAATTATCCACTAACCTTGATCTTGACCAGATATTCTCTATTCTCATCGTATCTTGAAACCTATTTTTCTGGCTTAACCCACGAATTGTATTTTCTGATCACCAATTCATTCAAATGATGTCCTTCCGGCCTTCCTGTTCGTTGCTCGTATAAATAATACGAAGCAACACCGATGCTAACAGCAAATACTGGGTCTAACGCCCTTGATATTAAATAAGGATATTGCATTGTCTCAGGAACAATAATAGTACGACAAACAGAGCAGAGTAGAGGTTAGATCAAATCAATAGCATATTTTTTGTAGTAGTGTGAGTACCATACTTCAGACCTAATAACTATACTACTTTATAATAATGTACATTTATATAACTATTTAGATTTTCTGCTAAATTTTTTCTTCATTTTGTTACTAATATTCTTATTCCAAGTAACACCGCTCATAATTGACCTATTGAATCCATAAACATCGTGAATATCATTATCACCGTAGTCAAACGGAGTACCTGTGGAAATTAATGCTTTTCTTTCTTCTTCACTCATCTCTGCCGTAACACTGCTCTTCTTACTATTTAATTTTGCTCTCTGCTTGGAAACAAATTCCCTGCATTTGTTAATTTCGTCCTGAGATAATGAGCCAAATCCATACCCACCGATTTTCTTGAAACAATTATCTATAAGTACATTTGAGTCAAGAATGGTTTTTGGAAAGTTTTGCATAAATTGAAACAATTCTATTTGTTCCATTTCAGCACCACCGCCTCCTTCTATCTTGGTGCTTTGAAAATGAGGATTATCCAAACACATTTTACAAATGGTCAATGACATTCTGAATATGGTTTTGGAACCCTCGTACCACAAAATATCCCATACACGCAATGTCGACTCTATTGGTAGTATGCCAACAAAAACTGACATGAACCATGAAGAAGTGACCAATGTCACAGGCGGTAATCTGGACAATATTTTGTCTTCTGATAATGTTTCGCCTTCAAAATTCTTTCCCAATATGGACCACAATTGCGGAATATACTCCTTTATGCAAAGCATCAAAACACCCTGATCAGTATGTACACCTTCTAAGTTCGCCGAATGTACCTTTGGAATAATCCGTTCGGTCAAGATAACTAATAGCCAGAATGCCCGTTCTTCTTCCATGAAAAGCAACAACAACCCAGCCAAAAAGTTGAGAGATTGGCAGTATCCAATTTGTGGTTGGTAATGTGCAAATGCCACAAGAACTCGACGTAATGATTTTATCATATGTGTTTCGGTAGAGGTGTTATTGACAGACGTGCTAGAAGGGCGATTCCGTATCACGTCGTTAAAATAGATGTTGTCAGGAAATGTTCTATTCAAATCGCGTTCAATAACTTCAATGTCTTTGTTATGTATATCTTTCGTATCACGTACTATTTGTTCATAGACTCCTATATGCTTATTAAGCCTTTCATGTCCACCGGCATAAAAGAACCACGCGTTACCTCTCCATTCCGCAGGTATGCCTTTTCGAACCATTTTTTTAACCTTATCAGACTTTGGTGGAAACCGGGTGGGGACTGCTTCATCTGAATCGAGTCCTAACCCGTTGCTTTTCATCAAAACATGCCATTTTTTCTTTCTTTTAAGGGTGTATTGCGAGTAATCCCTAAACCACTGATCATATGCCTCTTTGGTTATATTATGATGCGTCGAGGCCTTTTTAAATCCGTACCTATCAAATTGTGAATGCAAAAGATCGTCTATATTAGAGTTTATAGTTGGCTTCACGTAGCTTTCACGATATCCAATATCGTGGTCCGGGATCTCAATCGTATCGTCATTTACTGATTGCGTCGTTTCCTCCCCATTTGAATTAACCACGGTTTCATCTATGACTCCGCCTTCCCTAACTTCTGGCGATCCGATATGTGGAGATTCCATCTCATAAATATCTAGAAGTGAATAATTGTTTGAATATGATGAGTCTGAACGCTGATGATTTGCCCTGGGAGTTGACAATAAATCGTTTGTACCCTGTACCTTAGCTGATGGATCCAACGTAGAAACATACTCCGGACCATTCTCACCAGCTGATACCATTTTCTTTTCCCGATTGGTATCTATTATACTGCTTGTGATTTACTAATCACTAAATATAAACCTACCGTATGCTTGTAAACCAGTTATATATATTTATGACCAGGTTGAGCTTGGTCCATCTTTTTGTCCTGACGACATTTACGGTCGCAATGTCGTCTTCAACAAAATGTCGCGGGATATATTTCTTTCCTGGACCAAATATAAGCCGGAGCATCATACAATAGTTCCTTACAACTAGTTGAGCTACTGAACGGCATGTACTGGAGATCAGACGAATGGCAAGAGGATCTCTATCCGGCTTGTGAACAGCTATCTCTTCCGGATGGTCTATTGATATCGCAGAACACAAGTTTTCGGTCTCAATTCATTAGGCGAAGCATTTTTCAACAAAAATGTTATAGACAATCTGTTCCTATGCTAAATACTAATAATGGATTAATGTTAAATAAGTTTGCAGATCTTTTACCGATCGCTGAGCAAACATGGCATGATTTTACGGGCAATAGTTCTAAAGGGTCGTTTGCGTACAGCGTGGTACCTGTTCTTTACTCAATATCGATCCTGGCGGTGATAACGTGGTTTTTGAATATATTTGTCATTACTAATTATACCATTAAGCCATCTATTTTGTTGAGGGCGTCCACTACTTTGTCTTCGATATATTTGTTGATAACTGTTATTATGGCGATCGTTGAGCTTCATAAACAACAGAAACAGGGGTTCTTGCATGGAGCTATGCTCTTTGATTGTATAAATTCAAGCTTGGCACTTAATATCATAGATCTTATCGTTGTGTTTTTACTACAGATTAATCAAGTCCAAATCATTATGCGTATCTTTCTGAGGCAAAAAGATAAGCGGTTGACATTCTTTGTTGGAATATTTGCATCTATCACATCGCAAGTTTTATGGGCGATATCTCGATTCCATTCATTTTCCGACGATAGTGAAGCTGGTGACATCTTACCGGCGTTTCAGTATCTAGTGAGGATTGCTATGGGTGTTTGCTACGCTGCCTTAGTTTCTGTGTTTGTATTGATGAAAATCAATTATATAATAGCCAACAAGAAAATATGGCTTATAACATTATTAACAGTTATATTAATTTATGGGCCGGTTGCATTTTTCATAGCGGATGTTTCGAATGCTTGGGTTTATGAGTTATCTGAAATTTTCTCAGTTGTTACATACGATATTTGTGTTGTAATACCTTGGGAATGGTGTAATAAATATAATAGCATAATGAAAGCAAAAGAAAAGGAAGGAGTTCTAGGAAGAAAATTTTATGAAGACGAGTTATATGAGCTTGATAGGTTCGAGCTATTTGTAGATGAGGAAGATGAGGATGACGAAAATAATAATAATGAAAATGACGATGAAAGTGGCAATGAAAGTGACAATGAAGGAGGCAACGAAAATAACGAGCACAATAATAGGCATATCCTCCCTCGAAGTGGTGAAAATACTTACAAAGGTTACCGCCCTGTACACTTCGATGGTAATAATGAAGGTTTCGGGTCCATATACGAGACGTATAGAAGAACAAAAGAAACATTTTTAAATATAACGGATCATGTCATTGCGAAAGGGTTGGCTATTCCTAGGTCAGCGAGTGTTTTCACAGGAACACCTGTCAGTGCACATAATGACGAAGTATTCCGTATGGATAATTTGAACCATAGACGTGCTGACCCAATGGATACGGGTCTCGAAAATCAAAAAGACTATAGAAATACCGACCGTAATAACACTATTAGGTTCGCTAGTAATAATGACATACATAGAACCAACAGTTCTTCGAATTGGCGACATTCTAATAACTTGAACAATTCTACGGCGCAAAATAGGAGAGATGTATTTGTTTATTCCACAAGAGAGGTAATAATTGATGCATCTGATAATGAGGCATAATATGAATAGTGTATAATATTTTTAGTTTAATCATATT